TCGTTATCAACCTCTTCATTTTTGTTAAACTGAACTAGCTCTTAAAGTTAATCATAGCATGTTATACATCATTTATAAGGTAATATTTATTTTATTTTTTAAGCTTTCAACTTTACTTATGATTGAGATTTGAGAGGAGAAAACCAGGGACAAAACTTCTGTTAAGGATCAAAACTTCTTGTGTAGAACTTCGGTCTATTATTATTTTTTAAAGGCACAAGTTAATTCTCTTCTCTTTTTCTAATAAAGGATTCAATTGTGATTTTTTTTAGTGACATATTCTAAAAAAAATGCATTTATTAAACCAATAAAACAAAGAAACACAATTGCAAAATTTTTTTTTAAATAAATGATTTCTTTTATTAAAGCAGGCAAATAGCAGAATAACACGGAGACGTTTCATTCAAAAATCAATTACAAAATGATTGTTAAACACTAGAATGTCTCCTTCAAAAACTGAATCTACCTTGAACTGACTTTACACTAAAAACATTATTATAAATCTAATCATGATTGGCAAAGACACAAATTGACGCTAAAGAAAACTTAAAATTATTAGATAAAATATTAAACACAGAAATAAAAAGAATATGATGGGAATCAAGATGACCCCACATGTACCACATCAAGAGATCCATTACACATTCCAAGAGGTCCAGTCACGAGAGCTAGAGCTAGGAAGATGCGAGAAGCTTTAAATGGCCTTATTGAGAATATCTGGATTGATAACAACATGCAACAAGTAAATCGAAGCTTGGATGATTATCAAAGCATGGTAAACATCATTTAGATTCAAGATAAGCTTAATTGAGGTCATTTATGCTAAATTACATAGTTTACGTCAAAATCTCGCAATTCTGTTGCAATTTGTAACAAACTAATATTTCATGTTACTTTAGGTTACTTTCAGTGATTTTCACATTTCTTGTATTATTTTGGGCTAAACATTCATTTATTTGAGGCCCAATTCATTGTTATTAGGAGTAGGGCTTGGGGTTCTCATCATCTTGGTATCAGAGCACCAAATCCTAAATCAGGTTTGCGTATCTTTAATTTTCAATTTTTATTGTCAAAAACAAAACAAAAAAAAAATTTCAATGCCATTCTTCTGTTTCTTATTTGGCTCTTCTAAATTTGCTGGTTTAAAAAGAGAGAGAGAGGGAAAGAGAGAAAGCACGAAAATAAGAAAAAAAAAAGAAGGAAGAAGTTGTACAAAAAATAAAAAGGGAAAAGGATTGCTAAAAAAAAAAGACACAAAAAAAAAAATTTAAAGGAGAGAGAAAACAAGCAACACAATTCTATGGTTGGAATTCCTTATATAGAGAAGAAATCTGTGACCAAATCCTTAAAGAAGAAGGAATCCTACTCTAATAAGGAGTTGAAAATTCTCTTTGAGTTCTATTCAAAGAAGGAGAGAGCAATTTTGTTTATTCTTTCCTAAGTTAAAAATCCTACTGCATTAAGGAATAGTCTAGTCAATTCCTACTACGAAGTGCTTCAACTGATTTGTTCGTTTTAATTTGTTTGGGTTGGTTCTTTTATTGCTTTTCTTGGTCGTTCCTTTATGTCTTTCTATTTCCTTTAACTCTTGCAAATTTGTTGGAGTTGGATTGCTGCAAAATAACTTGAATTGATCTTATTTAGTTCAATAACAAACTAAAAGAGGAAAGTTGAGTGAGGGAAAAAGGCAAGAGGTGTGAGCAACACTTGAAAGAAAAGCCAAGGTCTACAATGTGCAAAACACAAGCGTTGAGTGCCATTCTGTGAGAGAGCGGAGTGAAACACGTAAGGGAGTGTTGTGAGGTCCTTTTATTCTTCTGTTTCTAACATTCGTTGCAAGTTTCAATCATGTCAAGCAGTGATGACAAATCAACCACTAGAAGACACCATGTGGATGAATCTTTCATGTTCAAAGCAATGCAACAACAATTTCAGAGGCTAGACATCATGCTTGGTGAGATTAGAGACAAAATGGAGAAGCAAGATGCAGCTATAGCCAATTTATACCAAATACAGAATGGAAGTCCAAATTTGCGTAGGAATGACGCTAATGATGATCTCAATGACGATTATGAAAGTGCATTCAACAATGATGCCCATAACTCAAATTTTAGCATGGACAAATTTATGAGGTAGAAGGGATAAAAAAGGTGGGTTTAACCGAGGAGAGCAAAATCTGACGAGGTGGGGAGATCGGCAAGATCGTGACTTAGGTAGCATCAAGATGAAGATTCCTCCATTTTAAGGCAAAAATGATCCAGATGTGTATTTGGTGTTTGATTGCCATAACAATTCTGAGGAGAAAAAGGTGAAACTAGCAGTTGTGGAATTTGCTGATTATGCTGTGGTGTGGGGGGATCAACTTATGCTTAGTCGATGTAGAAATCGAGAGCGTCTTGTTGACAATTGGGAAGAGATAAAAGCTGTGATGAGAAAACAATTTGTTCCTAGTCACTACTACCATGATCTCTATCAATGATTGTAGGGCCTTACTCAAGGGTCTAAAATCGTTGAGGATTATCACAAAGAGATGGAAATCGCAATGGTTAGAGTGAATGTGAAAGAGGACAGCATTATGTGGAATTAGAAGATATGGTGCATATGGCGATGAAAGTAGAACAGCAACTCAAGCGTAAAGGAGCCACTAGCAAAACTGGGCAAAATTCAGGTTCCTCATTTTCTTGGAAACTGAATTGGAGCAAAAAGGAAGCAAATTTTGCTTTTAAGCCTAAAATTGTAGCATCTAAGTCAAAAGAACTTGGTAGCAATGAAAAGAGTAAAACAAATAATACGCAAGGCAAAAATCGAGACATCAAGTGTTTTTGATGCTTGGGATAGAGGCATGTTGCATCGCAATGTCCTAATAAGCACATGATGATCTTGAGAGAAGATGGAGAAATTGAAACCGAGGGTGAATCTAATGATGAATCTATGCCACCATTAGAAGATGTTAATGATGGTGTGGAATATGCCGTTGACGGAGAACTGCCCGTCACTAGGCGAGCTTTGAATGTGCAAGCCAAAGAAGATGATGAAGTACAATGTGACAATATATTTCACACAAGGTGCCATGTCAAAAACAAGGTATGTAGTGTGATTATTGATGGTGGTAATTGTACTAATGTAGCTAGCATTGTTTTAGCTGAAAAGCTTAATTTACCTACGACGAAGCATCCAAGGCCATATAAGCTGCAATGGTTAAACGATTATGGAGAAATTAAGGTAAATAAGCTATTTCTGGTTTCATTCTCTATTGGACAATATAAGGATGAGGTACTTTGTGACGTGGTTCTTATGTAAGCTGGACATTTACTTTTAGGGAAACCATGGCAATATGATAGGAGGGTAACACACAATGGCTTCAAAAATCGCTATTCATTTGTCATGGAGGGGAAAACAATTACTCTTGCACCATTGAGTCCAAGGCAGGTTTGTGAGGATCAACTGAGAGTAAAAAAAGAGAATGAGCAGAGAAATGAGAGTGAGCTTGAGGGTATGAAAAACAAAGAGAAAACAGCAAAAAAAGAGTCCAAAAAGAGAGAAAAGATTAAGAGTGTTGAAAACAAAGAGAGAAAATCAGTGAGTGTTTATGCAAAAGAAAGTGATGTCAAGGCTACATTCTTTGTAAAGCAGCCTATGTTTGTGCTTCTGAATAAAGATGCTTATTTCAACACTAACGAACTTAATGATTCTTTGCCTAGTGTTGTTAAATCTCTTTTGCAGGACTTCAAGGACGTGTTTCCAGAGGACATCCTTAATGGTTTACCACCAATAAGAGGAATTGAGCATCAGATTGACTTCATTCCAAGTGCAACAATTCCAAATCGACCAGCATATTGAAGCAACCCTAATGAGACAAAAAAACTTCAAAAGCAGGTTAAAGAACTCATGAAGAAGGGGCATGTGAGAGAAAGCATGAGTCTATATGCAGTTCCAGTGCTACTTGTGCCTAAGAAGGATGGGACCTTGCATATGTGCGTTGATTGTTGCGCTGTCAACAAAATCATTGTAAAGTATCGTCACCCTCTTCCTAGATTAGATGACATGTTAGATGAACTGCATGGTTCTTGCATATTCACTAAAATTAATTTAAAAAGTGGGTATCATCATATTAGGATGTGTGAAAGGTGCATAACATGTAAACAAGCAAAATCTAGAGTTTTACCATGTAGTTTGTATACTCCCTTACCCATAGCTACTGAACCTTGGGTTGATATATCTATGGATTTTGTTCTGGGCTTACCAAGGTCGAAAAGAGGCTACAATTCTATTTTTGTCGTTGTTGACAGGTTCTCAAAGATGGCACACTTCATTCCATGTCATAAAATCGATGATGCAACCAATATTGCTGATCTGTTCTTTAGGGAGTTTGTTCGTTTACATGGTGTTTTAAGGACTATTGTTTCTGATCGCGATGTTAAGTTCTTGAGTTACTTTTGGAAGACCTTGTGAGGAAAGTTGGGAACTAAGCTATTGTTTTCGACTTCTTGTCGTCCACAAACTTAAGGACAAACAGAAATGGTTAATAAGACGTTGTCAGCCTTATCGCATTCTATTATTCAAAAAAACTTGAAGAATTAGGAAGAATATTTGCTGCATGTTGAATTTTCTTATAATTGAAGCGTCCATTTAGCAACTAACTGTTCACCATTTGAAGTTGTGTATGGTTTTAATCCACTTACCCCTTTGGATTTATTGCCATTACCCATTGATGAACGAGCTAGTTTGGATTGGAAAAAGAAAGCTAAAGTGGTTAAACAACTACATGAGAAGGTGTGACAAAACATAGAGTGACGAACTAAGTAATATACAAATCAAGCCAACAAAGGGAGCAAGAAAGTTGTGTTTGAACCTGGAGATTGGGTTTGGGTGCATATGTAGAAGGAGCGATTCCCTGCACAAAGGCATTCTAAGTTGCAACCAAGAGGCGATGGACCATTTCAAGTGATTACAAGGATAAAGGACAACGCATGCAAGTTGGAGCTTCCTGGTGAGTATAATATTAGTGCTACTTTTAACGTTTCTGATCTTTCTCCTTTTGATGTAGGTGACAATTTGAGGAAAAATCCTTTTGAGGAGAGAGGGAATGATGGGAATCAAGATGACCCCACATGTACCACGTCAAGAGATCCATTACACATTCCAGAAGGTCTAGTCACGAGAGCCAGAGCTAGAAAGATGCGAGAAGCTTTAAATGGCCTTATTGAGAAGATCTAGGTTGATAACAACATGCAACAAGTAAATTGAAGCTTGGATGATTATCAAGGCATGGTAAACATCATTCAAATTCAAGAGAAGCTTAATTGAGGTCATTTATGCTAAATTACACAGTTTGCGTCAAAATCCTGTAATTCTGTCGCAATTTTGTAACAAACTAATATTTCATGTTACTTTAAGTTACTTTCAGTGATTTTCATGTTTTTTGTATTATTTTGGGCTGAACATTCATTTCTTTGAGGCCTAATTCGTTGTTATTAGGATTAGGGCTTGGGTGTTAGTTTCCTATTTTGATTAGAATTATTTTTCCCTATTTAAAGGGCTTGTAACCCTAATTGGGGGGAGCTATTGAATCTGAGTTTTTGAGAGACTTTTCTTTTTGGTTCGTTTCAAAATTTTACAGAACTTATCAAGATTATTCTTGTGGTGTTTTAACCTAACTTATCATTCTCGTTCTTAATCGTTCGAGGGTGTGGCATCAACCAACTTTATACCTCTGGTTCTTGTTGCATCATAGACAACAGGTCAAGGTTTTTACCTTTGGTTCTTGTTGCGACATATCCAACGGGTTAAGGTCCTATTGTAAACTTGATTTGGCTTTCCTGGAGTTTATAAATCCCTTGTCGTACTATGGGTCTCATTGTTCTCTTTGGGGTTCCCATCAGAATACCGAGTAAACTTTCAAAATTTTCAATTCTTGAGTAGAGAATATATATATATATATATATCTCTTAATAGGGGATGCCATCTTTGAGAACCTTCATAATTTCTAATTAATCAAATCTTATCAAGTTTATTTTTATTTAATCATTATCCTTATTTTTCAAAAACTCTTTACCTAGGTTCTAATTACTTTTTCTATATTTGAAATGGTTCCTATAATTCAAATTTTAGAAAAGAAATTTTAAAAAATAAAAGTTGGAGTACCATATTGAACTTTTGTTAAAAGTTTAGGGGGAAGGTTGCCCATCTTCCATAGATTGGCCCGTCCCTAGACAAAATTGGCGAGGCTTCACAACTACTACCACCGAATCAAGTAGTATTAAATCAAAGTAAGTAAAACATAGGGTTTTTAATATATCAACATAAGTGGTTGCAACTGCAATCAATCAATGAAAGGAACTACATCTACTGGTGTGAAGCATTAAAAGCCTTAATTCCTAACAGAAATGGAGGTGCTTCCTTAATTCCTGTACTTACCTGCCCCGCCCTCATTATATTGATTAGGAAATTTAGGCCTCCCCAGTGATATTTTCAAGCCTAAGTGTGGTTGCTAATATTTTCATTTCCATTTCCGTGTCATGCATTTAAGGATGCATGAAACAGATCACGAGCTGTGCACCCCAGACGTCAACTGAAATTGTCACCTATCAACTAACTAATTAAATCCAGAATGCACCTAAAAAAGTAGACCAGTTGAAAATTCATAGGCAATTTTTATAGGTGTACGTACGTTGAGAATATATAATTCACAATTGTTGAGTGAATTGCACGTTGGTAAGTGTAAAGTCACGTATATAATTTAGGAAAGTAGTACTTTAAATATGTATTCTTAAAAAATGAAATGCCTTAAGTGCCCTTTGTGCAAAAATGAACTAAGAGAGTATAAAAAGTATCTTACACGTTGTTTTCTTAAAATTTTTTTTGGAGAATCTGTTTAAAAATTTATGTTCAAATTAATAGTTTGAAAAACCAACCATTGGTTTAAGGGTTTTATTCATATAAATAATGTATGAATTTTTAAATTGTTTAAGTAGGTCTAATTACTTCATTGATCATACAAAATTTATCACGATTAAATATATATTAATAAATAAAGTTTCTTTAATCAAAAGGTTATAAATGTTAGATTAGTATAAAAATTGATTATAAGTATATTTATAAGAATAAACTTTCACTATTCCAACTATTGGTTTTGTTAGAGTGTGCTTTACAGGCCAACTTGGTTGGCGAGACAATTTTATGTACTTGTGATTACTTTTGTTATATTTATGACATTCTCTATTGAATATTAATTTTTATTCTTCTACATATATTAAACATCAATAAAGTTCTTAGGATATTTGTTGCGTCAAAAAGTAATAGTAGTCCTTGCTATTAATGAGAACTATATGATGCGATAACAACATTCTTAAATTATTCAATAGTCATATATATCATTGAGATGGGAAATCAATGGTATAAAGATTATCATGTGTGAAATTTTACTAGGTGGTAAGACTTTTGTTCACGAAGTCACGTATCGAATGTGGGTGACTTAAAATAAGTGAGTGCACTGGACTGACTCATCATGAGAACTTTACATGTACATATCATTAGTGACTTCTTAGCTATGATGCAAGTGTAAGTTATCCTTTGACTTGAGATCGTCATTATTTTATGTGAGGGCTCATGTATTTTAAGGTTGTTAAAAGCAACCACTTTAAGGGGTTTTGAGAATATAGTTATTGGTGCATCATGGATCCCTTGAGAATGTCTATGTTGAGATGAGACTATTTGCAAAGTCCATGGCCATGGCATGAATAAAGGTTTATTCAAGAAGTATGTCTATGTTCAGAATCAAAGAAAGATATATTGAGCTTCATGATGATACATAGTATGCATCTTGCTTGATGGAGATATTAGTGATGAAGGGATTGAATTACACTAGTATCGTCATAGGAAGGTTCATCAAACTCCTACTCTTTTTACCACTTTGGGTGGCCATGATATATTGCTAGATACCACTCTTGGTCTATAAGTGTTTCTCACTGTCATCATGATAGAAACTTAGAGGGTCACACACTTAGTGCATTTTGGGATTGAGATTTATATAAATCCAATGTTATGGATATATATTTATTTATATGAAAATAGTATTTTCACAAGAGAAATAAATTAATCAAGTTCGAGAATAAATTGGTAGAAAAATTTAATTTAATTAATTCAAGTTTGTACTTGTTTTAAGTTAATGACACAAAAAATCCAACATGGCATCTAATTCCTTGGAGGACTTGAGGGCTGAAACCCTAACCCATTGGGCTTAGGGCTTTAACGGTATAATGAGCTTCGAGCCCTAGCTAAAAATCCTAGTTTATAAAGGACTTAGGTGTGTGGCAAGAAAGGGAAAAATTAAAGAAAGGAAAGTCTTCTCCTTTTGGGTTTTATATTTTCACTTGAAGACTAAGTTTTGCAATTCTATTTGGATTAGAATTGCAAGTCTTCTATTCCCTATTAATATAAATAGTTGTAGAAAACCCTAAATCCCTTATGACGGATAGTTGACTTTCATCATAGAATTTTAGGCCACTAAAATTATTCTAACAAAACCTTGAAGGAGAACATATTCTTTGATTGTTAGCACTTCTAGAGATACGGGGTGTGTCTAAGATTGCAGTTGGGCTTTTTCTTGTAGCTATACAATACTTTTAGATGTATGTGTATTTAATAATTTTTTTCAAGCTACTTTTTCTGAAAACTATAGAAAATCACAATAGGTTTACAATATTTTTATATATAAAGCCAAAAGTCTCATTTTGAATCTTCCTGACTATGAATTTATTGGACAACACATAATATTTAATACAATTACAAAATTAACCATTAAACCCCAATCTTATTTATTTCAATTACAACATAATTTGTAATATTTTATTTAAACATAATATCTCATTTATTTGAAGATTTCATGAAAAATTAAAAACTCGTTTCCTCCTTATAAGTTGCTCTATCACAAAATCCAAAAGACTCATCATAAGAAACAAAAAAACCTAAATTATTAAGTAGTAAATGTTGTCTATTTTAATAATTATATATCATACAATACTTTTTAAATTTTAATTAACAATTAATAAAATTTATCATATGTTATCTACAATACTTTCGAGAAATAAATAACCAAACACCAAAATAACTTTCAACCATAACTACAACATAACACAATTCAGCATAACCACAATGCAATTACAGCCACAATACCTCATAATAATCCCAAACACACCCTCAATCTTCTTTGAATCTTCGAGCGTACATGTGGATCATTACTAGAGAAATTCTACACATGGATTCTTGGATGACGTCGTTAGAGGATGGTAGTTAGATCTACACATCAATGAGGCACACATCATTTAGGTACTGACCATAAACCCTTCTTTAACCACTTCATTAAAATGGATTTGTGAGGATCCTTGGTGAGTTAAAAGAGGAAAAAATTAAAATTTTGAATTTTGTCACTTTCGCTACACCTTTTTGAACCCAACAAGCTTTTGAAAATATTTATTATAAAGTGAGATTTTAGATACAGTCTTATATACTAAATTCACTCATAATTCCCTACTAAAGTGGGATTTGGGGTGTTACAATTACTGGAACAACTCAAGCCAAAGCTACCACTCACATAACAACAGTTTGTTTCAAGATCCACAAGTTCTCAAAAACTTAAGTTGTTAGTAGTGGTTGGTATCCACACTTATATATTATAATTACTGTAACAACTCGAGCATTACAATTATTATAACCACTCAAGCCAAAGCTACCACTCACCTAATAACACTTTGATTCAAAATCACAAGCCCTTAAAAGCCCAAGTTGTTGTAGTGGTTGATCTCCACACTTATATAATAGACTTACTCACAATTCCATACCAATGTGAAATTTAGGACATTATAATCCTCTCCTCAAGTGATATAGGGTCTACACTTGTGAAAGGTAGTTGAATTCTCTGGAATTGGGAGTTGACTCTTTAGCTCTAAGAGTCAAATCTTGAAAGTCCAAAAGTTGAATATAAACTTGGAGATTCGATTTTCCCTGGATTGATCCTTTTCTTCACAATTTGCACCAAAGTCGAATTTAGAAGCAAGAGTGGAAAGGGTTTTTTCAATTGCAAACTAAAGATCAATTTCATTAAATACTTTTAAGGAGTTTTGTTATCATCAAAATCACTTGGAGTTCAACACGAATCACACATTGGTGGGGAATTGTGAGTGTGACTAATAAATAATTGTCATGACTAACCACTATTAATAACTTGAGTTTGAGCCTTTGAGACCTAGTAAAACTTGGCCCAAAAAGTTATTAAGCCAGTGGCATGCTTTGGCCCATGTCATTTCAATTGGTATCAAAGTGATCACTTCTCACATGTATGGACCTATGTTGACTATCATGGTTGATGGTATTATGGACCCCACATCAAT